GGCCCCGCCGCCCGCCTGGTGCCGGGTGAGGGCGGGCCGGCGCCGCGCCCCCGCGGGCCGGGGACACGCTCGTCGTGGAAACGGCTCCGCCGCTCCCAGCGCCAGCTGCGGCTTCTCAAACGCCCGGTAACGGGCGGCGGGCGCTCTCCCCCGCCCCGCAGCGGCGCCCAGTCGATCCCTGCCTCTTGCCCCAGGCGCTCCCGCCAAAATCCGCGTGACCGAGCTCCTACGGTCTCACGGGAGAGAAATACTTGGCCTCGCCAACCGGCCGCAGCAGGGGAAAGGGACGCTTCGTCAGTTAACGCGCGTCCCGCGCTCCTCCTGCGTGCTTTACCACCAAAAATGCTTTATCTCACGTGAAGTAGAGTTGACGTACGCGGTTCCACAAGCATTCCACCCGAGCTTACGGCGAAGAGTCTTTGGAACAATCGTGACAGGCTTCAGAGGCGGAGGGCTCTTCAGAACTACTTCAGCAGGCCTCGGGCAGCTGCCCGGCGACATTAGGCCTAGGAAACCCAGCGCTGCCAAAATAGGCGCGATAGCTCCACGTGGAAGATGCAACTCTGCCGCTTCAACTACGACGAGACTGTTCTGTCACGTCCCTTAGCAACAACGGTTCCTGCTTCTTCAGCCTTCTTGCCTCAGGATTTGTGTTGACGTGACGGTAGTCTGCACAAGCAGCTGCTTCGTTTTTCCTAAACTCGGAAACAAAACTGGAGAAGCAATCTCAGCTTTTCCTCACAGGACACTGTCACGGTTTCAGCCCAGCCAGTAACAAAGCACCACGCAGCCGCTCACTCGCTCACTCCTGCCCCGGCCATGGTGGGATGAGGAGAAAACATAAAGAAAGGCTTGTGGGTCGAGACAAGGACAGGGAGGGATCACTCTTATGGTCACGGGCAAAAGACAGGCTCAACTTGGGGAAGAAATAAAATCAATTTAACTTACTAGAAATCAAATCAAAACAAGGATTCTGAGAAGTAAACCCCAACCCTAGAACACCTTCCCCCATCCCTCCCTCCTGCCTGGCTCAACCCCCCTCCCGGTTCTCTCTCCCTCCTCCCCCTGCCAATGGGGGTTGGGGTCAGCTCGCCACCCCTTGTCTCTGCCGCTCCTTCCTCCTCAGGGGAGGAGGACTCCGCACTCGGGCCCTGCTCCGCCGTGGGGTCCTTCTCACGGGCTGCAGTCCTTCAGGCACAGACTGCTCCAGCGTGGGTCCCCTGCAGGGCACAAGTCCTGCCAAAAACCTGCTCCAGCGTGGGCTCCTCTCTCCACAGATCCACAGGTCCTGCCAGGAGCCTGCTCCAGCGCGGGTCCTTCCCATGGGGTCACAGCCTCCTTCGGGCATCCTCCTGCTCCGGTGTGGGGTCCTCCCTGGGCTGCAGGTGGAGATCTGCTCCCCCGTGGACCTCCCTGGGCTGCAAGGGGACAGCCTGCCTCACCATGGTCTTCCTCACGGGCTGCAGGGGAATCTCTGCTCCGGCGCCTGGAGCACCTCCTCCTCCTCCTTCTTCTCCTTCTGCACTGACCTCCGTATCTACAGAGGTGTTCCTCTCACATTCCAATCCTCTCACTCACTGCAGGTTTCCCCTCTTAAATCTGTTCTCCCACAGGTGTTACCACTGTTACTGAGGGGCTTGGCCTTGGCCAGAGGTGGGTCCAACCTGGAGCCAGGGAAGCTTCGAGCAGCTTCTCACAGGAAGCGGCCTCTCACCCGCTACAAAAAACACTGCCACACAAAGCCGTAACAGATATTCCTAACAAAGCTATTCCTCATCGTGTTACCTGCTGTGTTCTTTCTCATTAAAAATGGTCCCTCACTTTGTCAGAAAAATAAAATTTCCGCACCACTCAAAGCAAATGGATAAATTTTGGGCCTATTTTATTCTCTAAGGCAACATTCTGTTCCCCAATTTAAAACTAGTCTAGTATTCATGACATGAACTTAGCACTTGTGAAGTAGTTTTATATATATGTGTGTGTGTGTGTATAAAAATATATTTTTAATATATAAAACCCACTAAGCAATATGCAGTTATTACCTACATAATTACACAGTAGGTGGCTGGCTTTTCTGTGTTTTACAAGATACCAAAACTGTGAAGTCTTTGAAAAAGCTCAAAAGCTGCTGAAAAGGGTTCCTCAAATAGATTGAAAAAGAACTTAACAGCTGTACCACCTAAACTGGCACAGTATAAACAGGAGCATCCAAGTACCAATATCTAAGTTTAAAAGAGCTAAAGAAATTAATGTGCCAAATGCTGGAAACTCAAATACATATTCCTGAGTTAAACGGTAACAATGTCTGAAGAAAGTGAATTTAGTCTTCTCCTTCCACTCTCCTCCCTTCAAAACCACCTCTCAACCCACCTAAAACAATAGTGAAGGGAATAAATACCTGAAAATATTAATTGGACTCCTTTAAGCACTACAGACTCTTTGTGGGACTTCAGTCATTATCTGTTAATCCTCTTCCTCACATTTCTTCAACTGCTAGTTCCGCTTAACATACTGTCATCTGTTCACGCACAATACAAATTTTTTTACGTGCTCTCAATTCAGCACAAATCATCAAATCTTTACTTCAAAACCAGGGGTTGTGCTCAGTAACAGAAAATACTCAAAGCATCTCTGAATAATTTACAACAGCGTGGCATTTCAGGCATGTTTGCCGAGTATCTGGAAAGAACTCCAAATACCAGAATGGTGGTAACCTGCCTAACCTAACCCATTCTTGCAGGGTAACTCAGCAGCACAAGCCACCTTTGTGCTCAATGAATTTCACAAGAGAGGTCAGCCAGTGTAGGTACTTTTGCAAGGCTAGACAGGCTTTTTCAGGGCTTATTATCTACTACGTGTATAATAAACATCTCATAAGGTTTAAAAGGAAAAAGAGCAAAAATACCACCCATACAACCTCAGGAAACATGACCGGGTTAGCAGGTAGCCTAGCTTGTGTTGCATACCGACTGACTCTTGTGCAGCAATTTCCAGCTGTGTACACACAGTGAAGGGGTTGCGATGAAATCCACCACGTGCCAGCTGCCCAGAGCTGCTCTCTGCTACGCAGTCCCTGGGCAGAACGGTGCCAGCTGGCAGAGTTTTAAAGCATCCCACCAGGGTGGTGAATCCAGTGAGGTCCGTACCTGGCAGAAAATTGATTAGGGAATCGGGCGGCTGTAGCAGGGTCTCTGGTGGCCACGTCCCTGCTGCATTTCATGAAGACAACTGAGCAGAACAAAGTTGCCGTGTCTGCGAGTCTACTCTTACAACAGTTGCACTGTCACATACAAGGAACTTAAGGGACTCCGCTCTTAGAACAAACCTCGGAAAAATCAGTGGGACTTTTTTTTCTTTTGGCACCATCAGGTTTTGGACTTTAACACTCTTCCCATACGACCTGTGTTGGTCAGATACGTATGCTCAGGATTGGTTACGTCCCAGACTTTCAACAATAACAGTGGCATAAATGCTGTACTTGCCTTTACCACAGTGTTGCCTCAGAGGCCTAACTCCAGAGATGCACAAGAAGAGAATAGAGAGTTGAATGTTCCTGCTAAAAATGTGTTCTCAAAATACATACTCCTTATCCTATTTACTTAAAAATCAGAGATGCTGCATGTAGAAGGGAAAGCTTCTCTAGTTTTCTGGTCTATCTTTGTACATTGCATTAATATCATCAACACCTTTAAAAATAAAATTGCAATGACATACCCAGTAAAGAATCCATGCCAATCTTTTCCACTGCATACAACACTTCATATTGGAGAGGAGCTAATCTCCTTGTTTAAAAATAACTTTCAATTTTGACCAGCAGTAATACTAGTGCATCCCCTAAAACACAAGTGCAAAGACTGAAAGAGTTCTTAATCATAAATCCCACCATAAAAAAACAAACAAACAAAAAACCTGAATGCCTGAAAGTCATGTATTTGCCGGTACCTGATACAAGGAGCTAAGCATTTCAGATGAAGGATTAGACGGGCAGCCACTGTAATTTTCCAAGTGATTTTTCCTGCAGGAAGCTCTTGTGACAGTAAATTAGACTGGTGACACAGGCTTCCTTACAGCTTTTGCCACTCCATGCACACCCAACTGTGGAGTAGTAGATCTTGAAACAAAAGCTCTAGCAAGTAGCCAATTTACAGCAACGCATGAACAGAGCACATGATAACCCTTAAGACACAGTTTGAAGTGACTCAGGCCCCAACAAACCTTTCTGCCAGAGAAGTGTTCATTTTACCTGTGAGCAAACTTCAGTACAATGAAGACATTAAGATTACACCTTGCTGGTAGACACCACTACATGACAACTGAGCCCTTCACATGGCAACTGATCTGTACCCATGAAAGAATCTGCTACTCTCAGTAAAAGCAAGGCTGCTATTTTATGAAAGGGTAATGGAAAATAGTTTGGGCTTATGAATTGGGATTAGGCTGTACAGCAGCTAGATGTGTGGGAAACTAATTTTTTTTTCACCCCATGTGATAAAGAGGAGTCACAAAACAAGCATTGAGCTAGAAATAAATCATTTATTTTAAAACAATACAGGTTAATAAATAATTAGTTATCAGAAAACTTAATAAATAGCCTTTTATAATTTACACAAGGCAAATACAACATGCCTATAACTATTTTTTAAAAAGCAAAGAGAGTAAGCTTGACTTGTAAGCCATTAACAAATCTATATATACATTATTTGGAAGCTAATAAAATAAACCATTTTTATGTAATCTGTAGTAACTATATTGCAATAGCATTGAAGCAACCAAACCTGACACTGTATGTTTGTGGCCATCCACCTTTTCCCCATATCCCATTAGAAGTATCTTTTACATTCCTGGGGAGGGCGGGGGGAAGAGAGAAAGAAAAGAGAGAAAATTCCACAGTTGAAGAAGGATTTAACTTAAAAATACCCCTTTTGTGTAATATTTTCCACTCTGTAGAGCAACTGTCAGGGGGTGAGTTGGGGGGGGGGTAAACCCAACCCAACAAAAAACAATAATAAACCCAAACTTCTTTGCAGCTTTTAAAAAAGATTTCAAAGATTTCTTAATCCTTAACATTTCAACACTGCTGTCTGAAACACTTGGGCACTAGTAATAACTGTTGACATCATTGGTGCCTAACACGGTACACACTAAAATTCTGCATCACTTAAGCCCATATTGAGTAGCACCAAAGAGTTATTACAAAGACTAATCTCTGTAAAGAAAAGATAACAGGTAATAGATAAACATTTGGTAACATTTGATTTAACAGTAAAACTTCAACAGTTAGACCATCTCAAGACAACCAAGGAAGATCTGTAGAATCCTTGATGGTTTATATTTATGCAACAAGAACATGAGGGGTACAACATGCAAACAACTGCCCATTTAAGGCACCCCATATTTATTAACGCCAAATCTTTCTTCAAATACAAACCCTCTATTTTTTAAATAAAAAGGAAAGCTAAGCCTCAGTTTCTAGTTTTCAACAAATTAATCCAGTGTTTTCATTTTTCAGTGCTAGTTACTTCAGAAAAACACATATGTTCAGTATAACCAAGATTACTAATAGGAAGCCTCACTTGTCAATCTGTGATATGACAGGTTCTTATTGATGTTAGTCGCAGCTCACTAATAAATAGGCTCTATTTACACATACAGAGTCCTGGAAAGTCAATACAGCAGATAACTTGTTTAGGTATTTTTCTTTTTTACATAAGTATTTAAGGTGTAAGAAATTTTGTTTTGGTTGTATCAAAAAGGTTTCTATTCTCCTACTGAACATTTGAGGGATTTCTGACACCTAATAAAGATCGTGACTGACACATGTAAATCCTCCATACACTGAAGGGATAATGATTAAAGAACTATCTTCAAGTGAGTACCAAGTAAATATGTTTGACAAGTATAATAGAAGCCAGACATACGGAGTGAAATGCCTTTCATATGGATTTGAATGTAATTCAGATGCATCCCACCTCTGTAATGAGTCCACTTTTTGGATGCATAGCCTCTCCCACTTCTACTTGGGAATCAGAACTGAAGACGTCTGGCTCGTAGCTATCAACAGACATAATGCAAAGAGAACGTGAAAAGGGCAGACCCATGAGGGACACCAAAGCTCAGGAGACAACTATGCACATTTGCTCCCTGAGATGATGGAACTCAGATATCTGTCTTATTCAAAGTACTTACTTGTCAAAGGGGTGGAGGGAGAAAAAAAAAAGAGGGAATGGCTAAAATTCAACTTCAACAGTGCCTCCTTTTAAATCAGAAAAGCAACAGGATTAAAAAAGGTAGGACACCTAGAACAAGGAGGGCGTGGGATGGAGGGGGGAAGAATCATACCAACAGTGACAACAGAAAATGCTAATACATTTCTAAAGTTAGAACTGAACCAGATCCAGGCAAAGCAGAACTCAAAAGAACACTGCTACATACTGAACAAAGTAGCAAAAATAAAGGTTTCCATTATTTAGCATTCATGATGTAAAAGGCTGCAGATATAAATGATGCACAAGGCCACGAGAATTTCTTTCACCTTATGTGCTGGCTTTTGACATCTCTGTTTTAAACAATAAGTTTAACTAGACGTTTCTAGAAAGCTCATCAAAGATGAGGAGCAGCTGGGGAGAAGAAACCTATGCAGACATTTATCAGATGTCAGGACGGTCAGAGGACCACAGAACATGGCTGCTACTTTGTTCTTACTCTGCATAGTGAGTGCTTACCAAGTAAACTTGTGTGTGTGGTGCAGAAAATGGCAAGGTTTAGACAGGGCAGTCAAGTCATTTTTGATCTGATATTTACTAATAATTTGCATACACACTTAACATACTAGGATAGGCACTTTCTAAATAAATAGGAATGAATTTTAAAACAAAACAAGACAAACAAACATGGCCAAAGGAGGACTAGGATGAGACCACAATCATTTCCATTCTGACCTAAAGATTTTCACAGAAGTCTTCAGATATTAAAGGCTAGTAATAAAACCAATGTGCAACTCATGAACTCTTAATTTGAATTTTGAAAAGACAACTTGACTGCTTCAGAAAACAGCTAACTTTTTTTTTAAAAGCAGGTGACTATAGGTCTCATAACCTACGTACAATTCTAGTTTCAATCAGAAAAAAGGGAATTAATATGACAAAACATAACTGTCTGCTGAGAACCAAGATATCATCTTCCAATCAACAATGGACAGAGATTAGTTTTATAACCTAATTCCCCTCATCTACAGTTCTCAAACTTTCTAGAAACCATGCACAATATTTGAAAATCCACAAAGATGGCCTTTTCTCTGCTAGCGCTATTTTATTTCACCAAGATACCCAGTTTCCATGCTGGCCTATAACAATGTACATTTCTGCCAACTCAGAGTCATTCCCCACCGTTTGGAGTTATAAAACAAGCTTCCAAATAACATAATGGGGCTCTTACTCCCTCAGAACCGTCCCTTCAGAATACTAACTCTTTAGGATTCACTGTTCACAATTATTGCTGCCATCAGAAGGGCTTATAATGTTCCTTTTAAATGAAAACAGAGGCTGAGTTTTAAGGTAACGTTAATTCAGATCAACAAAAAGCATCACGAGAGTGGACAGTATTACTCCCCATTAATCAACATCTGCATTCCTGTCAGCCAGCCACAAAGCTACAGTCATGATTCCTTGATAAATTCCACGAACTTTTTCAAATACTGTCCCATAATCATGTTGGGGTTTTTTGTTTGTTTCAAGAGACGTTCTGAACTAGAGCTATTGAGTTCTACTGTACCCTTCCATTTTTGTACTTAAATGGAAACCAACATTCATTACTTTTCAAGCTTTCCTTACAAGTTTTTGACTCATGATGTTTTAACTACCAAATATAAGTAGAACATGAAAATTAACTATTTCTTTCTTTGACATATCAATATTCTCTAAATGGTTTAAACTGAACAGTTCAGAATCATTCCAAGCATAGCTTAAGCTATCTGCAGTACTTGTCAAAATATTATGGCTGAACTGTTCACATAGGTCTGTAAATTACTGGATCTGAATGTATATCCCTGTGGGTTACCTGAAACTCAGCTCTCTGAATGCCTATGCTTTTTCAGTCTTTAACCTCCTTTTCCCACATTACAAGAGGATCAGACCATCTTTTTTTGAGCTATGAGAAATCTCATGCTCTTCTCTCTCTTAAATTTCTTTTTTTTGTGGTCCCTGCTTATTAGCTACTTCACAAAATGGTTTCCTGTATTTAGTCACTTAACTAAAATAAAGGTATGCCGACTGCTTTAAACAGTCCTCCCCTAGACTACCTCTTTCCATTAGGACTATGGGTTTTTCAGAAGCTGTCAAGGCATCTAAGGGTTTCAGTTCAGGTTTGTAAATTCTTCCAAAAATGTGCGGCTCCTTCTGGATGTTTTACGCATTTAGAATTTGAATACAGTCCAATATTATAGACAGTGAAATTGAATTATTAAACTGGTATAGGCCATCTGAAACAAATACATTCACATTTATGCAGTATTTTTGGCTTACAAAGGCACTGAAATAGTTCTGAGCTGCTTACAAATAAGCCACCATATAGGCAATGAGTCTGTGCATCATTTCCACATCCTTCACAGTCTTTCTGTCTGCTCCCTATTAAAAACTCTCAGATGAATGTGGTAAGTCTTAATGCACATAAGTTACAAAGAAAATGCATACCTGGACACTACCATCAGCTGATAAGTAACGACTGAAAGATTTTTAAGGGTCCACTGCTCTGTATAAAGAATTCAATTTAAAACTCCCCAGTGTCTTCACCACATAGCAAACCAAGTTGCCAAGACAGTCACTAAAAAGGACAAATCTGCAGTCTGTGGTTCAACCAACATTTGTCTCAGAATTCACAGCCTTGACGGTGAACACATTGTTATATTGAGACTAACAAATTGTTCCACTCACTTCCCCCCCTCCCCCATATTTTAAGGTATACATCACTCATGTGAAGTGTCAGATTGAGTGCATTAGAAACTGATGTTCTCTGCCCACAGAAACAGTACCTCAGAAGCCACAATAATACAAGCTTTCACGCACAGGTCTGTCAGAATATCCCCAGATCTTTCCTGATGGATTAACTTTTACAGTAAGGAAATACATCGGTCTCTATGCTGACTCAATCAGTGGTTCCAATTAAAGTCATTTATTGTGTTAACTGGGGTACATGGACAACTGTTCCTTTGAAACTGGATGGAGGCCTCCAATTCATTTCACGTAGGCCACCAAATCATCAGAGGGTAACTACCAACCTGAACCATATTTGAATCAGTGACCTAGAAATGAAAGGCTCTGCATCCTTCCCTGAGCCATCCAGTTTCCCCTCAAAAAAAACCCATTTTAATCTGTCTTCATGTTAGGTTTATTTAAATCCCCGATATTGAAATTGAATTCCTTGAAGACTTGTATAAGAACAATTCCAATAGATACTGTGGTGAATCCACAAGCCATTCCCAAGAAATCTACAACTCCTACATTACTCCATTCCCTGAAAAGGATGGCTGAAGCCAGCAGGACTAGGGTGGTAAACACAACGTAGTAGATGGCACCAAACACAGAGGAGTCGAAACATTCCAGTGCCTTATTGATGTATCTGAACTGAATGATAATGCTACATCCTAATACTGCCAGAAGTACCAGACAGAGGTACAGAGCCCTTTGACTCGATGGGTTATTGTGAAAGATATCTTGAGCAGCTAGCCCAATGCCTTTTGTGCTGGGAACAGTGAAACTGCCCAACAGAGAGCAAATACTGATGTAAACCATGATATTAGTAGGTCCATGAGCTGGAGCTATCCAGAAGATAAGCAGGAGAAGCATTAGCAGCACTATGCAGAGATAACCCACGAAAACTGGAAAACAAAAAGAAGACAAGATAATAGCAAGGTGAGAACTCTTGGTCTCCTGAAGATTTTAGCAGGCAAATCATGTCATACCAGTGAACTTCAGGTATACACCAGGATTAAGATTTGCTATTGAATATAGATCCAAATCACTCTCTAAGCTTTTAGAGATGTTGTGGGCATCTGCAACCAATGATGTTGTCATGTTCTTTGGGTAAAACAAATCATCGTGTAGTAAAATACACACTCTTGCACATCTGAACTGGGTTTAAGATCGCTTTTTTTATTTTATTCTCTCTTCCATCAGGACTATACTCCTTAAAGCCCCCTGTGACAGACAGCAGTGATAACACCTCATTCATAACCAGTTCAATAAAGCATGGTGTGTGGATCCAGCAAAGAGCTTAAACATAAAGTTAGATCCCATTAAGGTGAGTGAGATGAGTAGGGACAGTTGGAAGAACCGGGAGTCTGTATCATTTACAGTATAGCATCAGTACACAGATTAGACTGGTGCAAAACAGTTCATGCTTTACAGTTTTAAAGAAATATATTTCCAATTCATTTTGGTCAGGTTAAAATGGTAAATTTAGATCAGGGTATTTGTTTTCTTTTCTTTGCGAATTTTTTGGATAGCTGATGTTATTAGGTTTGAGTTTCTCTCACCTAAAACAATTAAAGGAAATAACAATAGTTAGCAGTTTAGCTCTTAGGCAAGAAAAATAAAAGTGGGTCTGGCACATATTAGCACTACTACGTGTCCTCCGGCAGCTAGTGGGGCTTCGCATTCTCTATGAGAAAGAACAGGCATTTCAGCATATGCCTCAACAGCCTATTTCTACACACCTTTATTGTGCAAAGAAATCTGCTCGGAACATAACTGGTATCTAGTATAAGCTTTTAATAAAAAAACAAATGCAGAATTAAAGAACAAAGCACAATCGTTATTTTTTGTTTTGTATAAAACAACTTAAATTGAGATCCTGGAATTACACCTTTCATCTCGAAGTAGCAAGATACACTTTTTCATAATTTTAGAAAATTACAAGTTCAAATGGCCATTGCTCTAAGCTTGCCGTGCAGGATAATGTTTTCAAAAGTATCCACATTTTCCTTTCTGTACACATGTACCAATAAATCTGACGAGTTCCAAGTACAGCAAGGCATAGTTTTCCTACACAAAAGCTGTACTGGTTTGCCTCTGTCACGTCATGGTTTCTTCAGAAGTCAATTCTCCTACCTGGTAGAAGTGGTAAGCCTCTTCCTCCTGTGTGCTCTTGATCAATCTCACAAAATCATTATGAGTTAATAAAGGAACAAAGTACCTGGATTTGTAAGCTTCTCTTCAAGCTCAGCCTGAGTTGTTACACTCTCGGACTTTGGGGAATGGATGATGAGAACAACAGACCCAGCGCAGCTCAGCAAACATCCCAGCTTGCCAAGAATGTTCAGTTTTTCTTTCAGTAAGTAAGAAGCTAGAATGGACCTTTCACAAAGAGGAAGAAAATCAAAAGTTTGACTACATCCTGTGAATAATTCTCTAACAGTGTTGTGCCACATGAATTTCTCTCTTAAAGGAATAGTATCAAATGTTGGTGGATCTCCGACCAAATGTTGGTGGATCCTCAAAATGCATTTCTGACTTATCTTAGGAAAGATTCATCCAGTCTCAGTCTTACTCAGTCCTTGATGTCTCTTCTCAGGAAAAAAAAACAAACAAAAAAACTACAAAAACAAACCCAACAAACAACCCAACCACAACACCCCAGAAGACACCACCACATCACCCTCTCAAAAAAACCCCAAACCCCCAAACCAGGCGTCTGGCGCCCAAGGCAGATATCTACCCATTAACAATTTGGTGAGCTGTCACAAAGCCCAATTTTATAGGTGCTACGCAGTCATGAGGTAAAAGTGACCTTTGGTTACAAAGATCACAGGGCTCAGTTCAGACATGTAGCTGACCAAAATACACAAAATTATGTGGCCTAGGATAAAATAATAGGTGGTAAGTAGAGCACCATCAGTGTGCTTCATAGTGTATAAAACTAAAGACAGTGGTGAAGCCCATACAAAGTAATCTAAACTCTGAAGTAGATGACCAGTGCAGTCAGATACACAATTCAGCAGGCAACAGAAAAATCTCGAGGCAATGCATGGCTTTGTTTTTAAAGAATTGGACTTTTTCACTGCAGTAGTTTCACAACTGTAGTTTAGCTATTCACAAAACATTTAGTTGCATATTAAACTCCATTTAGGAACCTCACTGCCTTTTTTGTTCCCCCCACGCTGCCCCACGAACATAACATTCAAGAAGCTGGGGGCATGCATATGCAAGGGACTCCCTTGCTTCAGGAAAGGGGCCAAATCCAATTAAATGAAAATCAGCATCAATAAACACATGTGGGCTGTGGATAGCAGGGGAGAGAAAGAATGGGAGACAAAAGGAAAGATCTACATAGTAAAGGAACTGTGAATAAAAGAATAGGCAGAAGTGTCCAGAATAACCACAGGGAAGGGGGACACAAAAAAAAAAAGTTTATCTGTTCCAGGTCATAGCGATAGTTAAAGCAGAAGATACTCAGGAACCTTTTCTTCACCATTGCTGCCTCCCCCCCACTTTTGCTGGGGAAAACAGGAATAGGTGACATTATAACACATCATTAACAGTCAAAAGCCTGACTTCTCAGTGGCCCTCCACTGATCACTGAGTCTATCTGACATTTTATTAAGGAGTAAAAACATTCAGATAAGAACAAGAAAAGCAAACTCTTACCCAAATGGAACACCAAGAGCTCCCAAGGGCGTCACTAACACAGTTGGGACTGCAGTGTAAGCCAAGAAATTCCCTATTTGACCCAGAGCCACTGTCAAGAGAACCAGAAATAAGCCTTCAAATCCCTTTGAAAAAAGAAGTAATGAAAACTTACCCAATACTGTCTGGGAAAGACTGACCTTACTGGAAAACAGATGTTACAGATTTGCTTAGCTGTGTTAATTTTGCACTTAAGCAAAATGGCTGGAATTTTTCTATATTTTTAAATTATTTTTTAATACAGAATTTATATTTGCCACACAAGAAGATCCAAGAGGGCACAGTAAATAATCTCATTTGCAATTTCTCTTAGTTGAATATAAATAAGACTACAAATTAGAAACACTCATGGATTACACTCAAATATCTTGCTATTACACTAAAATATTTAAATGAGGAGGGCTAAAAGTATACATAACCCATGATTTCATCTTTAGAACATGCATACATGTAACACAAAGCACTTCGTTATAGTACTTAACAGCAGTGTTACCCTTTTGGGAGGAAAATAAGGACAGTGCTGAGGAAAGGAATCTACTAATGAAATGCTAAGCACATGCATAAGAGCTCTTTGATGCACAGTAGACCACATCAAATTTTCATAGCACTATGTAACATCAAAAGTAATTCCTGACCATTGTAAAAAGAACAGACCCCTGACAAGTCACAATAACAGCCTCACGATATTATTTTTTTCTTTCCCCCAATAAAAACAAATTCCAAAACGTACCACACTATTGCACATCACAGCTGTGATAAACAGTTCATGCATTCAAGTTTTCAGTTAAGAAAGAAAAGCTGGATGGTTTTGCAAGTGCTGGCAAGTTTATAATAGGTCAACATGATGCTTGCATAGTTACAGGGTCTGTGGTAACTGGCAAGAACCTTGAGACTGAACACAAATTATATACAGCTCGAATTCCCAGTTGATGTTAAGAGCCATTATCAGCATTTAAAACCATTTCAAGAATCCAAGCTGCCTTTATGCTCAGGCTGGCATTGCCCTCGACTATCAAATATCATTACCATCATCCTGTTCTTTACACCTGCAAAGCACTGTGCAAACAGTAATTAATTTACCAAATTAGCTCACATTATCAGTAGAGCTGAAGACCTGTGTAACCTACAAGAAACACGAAGGAGACAAACAAACTTATAAAACTGCAGAGTGCGGCAAAATTATACTAATTCAATTCACTGAGGCTTTCTCTGCATGCAGGAGTGAGCCAGAGAAGTTAATGAGCAGAATTTCTACAAGAGTTAGTGATGGTCTCCCTGCCCCTGGGAACAGACTAACTCAGCTATCAGCCTCAGGCTTGGTTTTCAGCAGATGTACGTGGCAACTTTGGCATTATCTTCAAGGCATCTGAAGGCAGTGGGGCAGATCTTGCATGGAGGACAGGGCACAGCTGGCACACTGTGTTTCTGCAGATTACATACATTCCCAAGGGACTCCGACACAAGGTTGCTTTTTTTGGAGGTCAGGTGCCTTAAATTTCTATTGGAAGGTGCCTGACGTTTCTGTTGGAAGAACCCTAACAGATGGCACCAACACCGATCTATAAATTAGGTCTCTGAAGCTTCAAACTGCTCATATTGTAAGGCAACTGAACTTACCAGAAGCTTTCAGCATCACCATGGAGTAACAGTAAGTCTCCTACCACTACGAACGACAGACCAGAACTAATTAAGACCAATTAAAAAAAGAATCTCAGTAACTGTTACCATCTACCTGAAGTTGAGGACCTTTGCTGCCAACCTATCCAGTCCTCTCTGGATAGAAACTCCTCTCCAGATACATCAATGCTGTAAGTCAAGACATGGCTTCAGTTCCTGAAGGCAGCCCAAGCTTTAAACTTGCTAAAGGAGTACCAATATCCCCGAAGTTACTGCAACGCAAAACTTGATGCACGCTGACATGGCTACATTAGCAAGGAGACCAGGAATAGATCCGCACAGCAAAAGATGTCTGCTCTACGCATGTCAGGGTTTTTATTTCAGACTAAATTCAGCCTGCTCCCACGGACTGAAAGTCTATTTGCAGCTGGCGTGCATTAGGCATGTTCCTAGAGTGCATCTTCCAGCCTAGTTTCATCTTAAAGTCCAGTTCAGGAGCTTCAATACGGCTCCAAAACATGAAATAAAGCCCAATCCATGGAGACAAACAGGAGATTCGCTTCACAAGTGTATTCCCCATCTGAGATAAAACACGAACACAGATGTATCCACTATAAAAACCCACCGCATCTATACTGCTATCAAAACCTGCACCGAAACTAATTAATTAGCCAATTAATTAGTTTAATGCTCATTGAAATACCTGTACACATGCTGCAATCACTCTTTTGACTACAGTGTAAGCAAAAGTCCCTTAGCAGAATCTGTGGCCCTTCCTTTGAAGTCTTCAGTAATCCAGTGGATCCCAAGGCCCCAAAATGGTTAGGCAGTGTTATGCTGTCAGCATGCCAACACAGAAATGCTTGTTCACCATCTGAACAAATATTGTGAAAACAAGTTGATAGAGTTTATGTGGGTTTTGTTAGCCATCCAAACTCCAAATTCCCTGCTTGAAAAAATGATGTCAGCTGTTATAATTCCACCCAGATAACTTGGGATATTGCTAATTCCCCAAACATCACCTTTCTTGGCATCCCATAGGTGCCTACCTGGCCCTTGCTATTGCTGTTTGTTGCAATTCTGCATCTGTAATATTCTTAAGCAACTCTTCCCTTGGTTCCTTTGTAAACTTACTGAGGCTTTGTTTCACTACCTGCACCTAGCTACTGGACAAAAGCCAACTGATACCATTCCCTTCAGCTGTTTCGCCTTCATTCAATTCAGTCAGCTCTTTTAAGCATGAAATTGTTTTCTCTGATTCACCAAGATAAAGTCCTGCAATAAAACCTCTCTTATTTTAACTCCTTCTGCTCAGAGATTCAAGACAGGAGCCTCATGAGCCATAAACAACAGTGATTAATGCACAGATTTATTGCTACTTAGGCAGTAGTGATCCTGGCAGAGGAGGAAGCTGATAAAGTACTACTTAAACTCAGGTTAAATTAGCTGAGGACTTTCCTCTGAAGCTCTGTGGGCTTCTACACTTGCTGTGAACTTTGTCCTTCAATGGATCTATAGGTTTCCATTCCTTTTGCATAGCTTGAAGAAACAAAAACAGAGACTTACCTTGCTGTCATGAAACAAGGGGCACAACTGGACTCATATACTTCTCAGAAACAGCATCAGAACATTTCCAAATAATTCACAAAAGGCTGGATTAGAGTCTAAAAGTGGGGTATGATTTTAAGCACGTGGGTAGAACTAGGGCTGAACTGTAAGAGGAGAAAGCTAGCTGCTCCCCATGCTCTGGATTCACATCAGAGAGTGAACTTACTGTGAGCAGAGTTTACAAAGATACTAAGAGTAAAATTACACTGATCTCATATCAGCACCACACAAGGCTTCACATTAATCTTGTAGATTAAAAGCAAAACTGAAACTATATCTGTCAAGCTAGAAATCAAAAAAGATTTTTTTTAATTGAGGCTGGCTAAGTGCTTTCTGATCTAAAAAATAACATGTGCTCAATGAGCCCTTTTGTGCAGAGGGACAATTTCTTATTCAGCTTTGACTTTTATTAAAAAGCCGAGCGGACCAGAGACACAAACCGTGCAGGAACCCAGAGTCAGAGCAGTGCGTGGCTGCCAAAGGCTGCAAGAACCAAATGGGTTGGAAATGTGGAAAGATGTCTGACTCAGGTTTGCCCCAGCTCTTTGCCTTCTCAAACACTGTCAGTCACAGTAGCCAGAGTGAGAGTTTACTAAAGGTGGGATATTTCTGAGGGATGGGAATTTTGTGACAAGTGAGCGTGAGATTCAAGATGAGAACCCAGGTTTCCTGATGTCTCGTTTCACCAACTAAGTGCAATTTCTCCCTTCAGTAAAAATGAAAGCTTTTAGGATACTTACTTGCAATAGTGCCAGACCACCATACGATATCCGTTAAGTACGAAGTACCTGAAAGAGAAAGTACAGGAAGAGGTATTAGAAAAACATGAAACTGCAATATTGGAACTACGAAACAGAATAATTTCAACAGTCTCAGCTATTAAGGACCTTTGTCTTAACCCTGTTGTTCAAAGCAACTGAATGGGAGGGATAAAAAAAAGAGAGGGTGCTCAGATTTGGCCTAGGTGTCCAAGTCAGACCTTCTTGAGGCAACGTATTCGTCAGAAGTTCTGTTTTCCAGTTTGGAGTACCTGCGCAATGCTAACACGGTATAACATAGAAGAGTGTCCAAAATGTCACAAAATGCTTCTGAGGGTGACATTTAAACATACAGATTAGAACCACTACTAGGAGAATGGGAAACCTATGGAAACAAAACATGATTTGGATCAATTAGTTTGCTAATATAACCTCAATGAAATTGTATCGGAGAAGTTGTAGCAGAGAAATTGTTTTGGCAGTCACATAGCATGGACTGATCCTCCTGCTTTTGAGCTTTGGAAAGTGCTACGACTGAAGCCTCTGAATTCCTGACATACTACCCCGTTTCAGAGAGAGGAGTAAAAACCCTGGATTGTCCCTTAGTGCCTCCCAAGCTCAAGGATGATTATTTTCACTGCCAGATTATAGGCTCTTGCCTTGGGATGCACCAGGGGAGCCTGTGCACCATGTTTTATGAGTTCTGCTTCTGTAGAACATCAAGGCTAATGACAGCTTACTAAACTAAAGCCCGGCCTCCACTAAGCGTAACCTTGGCATCACATTACGCTCTTACGTTCTGCTCCTCTTTCTAGCAATTCAGCTCTGCATTTATTTGGGAAGATGCTCCCTCAAGAGCTTCTGGAGCAATAGGCAATATTGTACCAACTCTGAAATCCCAAATGAAAGAAAAACACAGTAATCTATAACTCTGGAGACGTATAAAATATTAAGTGCTTGGAAATCACACTATATAATTGAAATGAGATGGAAAATGACTAATGAAAATGGCCAGCTTTAGAGTGGGTGTAATAATTTTTAGACTTTTGTTATTGCATATAAAATAAAAACACTGTTGGGGGCACAAATTATAGAAAATATTGACTCCAGTAAGATAACTTTGGAAAATATTTGTCACCCGCTGCTGCTTCTAACTAAGCAAGGATTACTAATTGCATTGATACTCTATTATTGATTCAATGGAGAAGACAGAAAAGACTTGAAGTGCCTCCTTGTTAATTATACAACACCTACTGAAGCCAGTGGAAAAAAGACATCATCTGACACTGACGATCTTGGGCTCGCAGCTCCGACTGCTAGATTCAAGGCAGAACCACACTGCTTCACAACATTAAATAGAGAGAAACCTAGGGTATTTGCCTGGATGTCTCCATACTGAGCACAGCAATAGGAAATACTACAAATTGCTCAGCAAGATACACGAGTAAACACCAGCAATATCTTCAAAACAGGATGTTTTACAGCTGTCAGAGCCGGGAAGGCAGGCACACACACCCATCACCCACTTAGCCCCCTGCTCCACTGAAAGCTCTTCAGGAGTAATTAGACCCAACTATACTGCAAAATGGAAACTTCCCCCAACTGCCTTGGGATGGAAAGTCATTCCTTTCTCTCCTGTTTTCTCATTGTTTCCCTCACAAAAAAAGATTTGCATTTATGAAGCAAACGTGACCTCTCCGTGAACAATAAAAATAGATTACAGCTATCTTTGAGGGAAAGGGAGACTATGCTGGCAAAACAGTAGTTTATCTGAGGCCCTTAACTGTAAGGTCATTGCAGAAAAGGCAAAATAAACTTGTTAGATCAGGCTGCCAGCTGGTAGTAATATAGTTGCAAGCTTGCTCTGCTCCACTGCATCCGCCCTGAACACGCTAGGTGCAGCAGGCACTGGAAATACACTGCTGCACTGTCTCAAATACATGTAGGTGTATATATATATTTACACACACACCCCTATACAGGAAAAACACCTAGCACGTCCTGGCCACTAAAAAGGATTTTTCATAAGAAAGAGTTTCCAGAACCTAGGGACACATGTTCGTACACACAGACACCATCACTTACAAAACAAATGGCTATTGACCACGGAAATACAATTAAAAGGCCTCACGCAACCTGCGTTTACAACTTTCCCCTCACATAAAAGCACGATATTAAGAACAAATAAATATATTGCATTTTCCTATATGTTCAAAGCATCAAGATGCAACTAGCAAATGCTATTCAGAGGCTGCATGCTTTGGGGAGCCCCAATTTCAGAACAGAATACAGCAGATCTTCATAGTCTGTGCATTAGCAGCTTTGTTTTGGCTGAACCGTCTAGATAGCGCTGTCAGTTCCTGACTATGTTCATCTCAGAAAACAGTAAGGAGGAATGGGATTTCAATGCGAAAAACAAAAGATGGAAATGATTTCATGTGGCTGGTGTGCCTTTCTTCTCTGCAAAGGGAAACCGCCACGTGACTGATGTAACTCGTCGCGTGTGTCCGTGGAAGAGCCAGAACAAACAAGCCACAAGATGTGCTGGGGCTGCTCACGGCAAGAAACGACCCGAGCCGAAGAAATGGGTAGAGAACTCCCACAAGCGCACCAAAATGCCGCAAGGCAAACCTGCGCCCGCCCGCCCAGCCGGCTCCCCGGCGCCGTGCTCCGGCCTGACAGCGGACCACCGACCCGCGGTACCCCGGGGAGCTGCACCCGCCGTGCCAGCCCCTCGCTGCTCCCCACCTGCCC